GTGACTAAGGAAGAGTGGGAAAAGGTGGAGGCCAAGAAGCGTTAAAAGCGTATTGACATTGCTCGTCTTTAGTCTCAGCGTGCTTAGCTTAATGCTCAGCTGTCGCAGTAGGAGTTGGAGCTTTTGGAGATCGAGGCGCAGGAGCGATTATTCGCTGATCGTGATCATGCCCTTCTGAATCTTCAAAATCGTGAAAAAGAGGAGGCTGAGGGGAGTTCCGCCCCTGGTATGGAGTTTCCAGCAACCGAACCATCGCTACCCGTACAATCGACTAACCCAGGCTAGTTACAGGCTGATTACTCTTCTTCTTCTTTCAACCCTTTACCTCTTAATTACTTCCTTTCCTACGAGAATCCGATTCTCGCTTCTGTGGATTTTTCCAATAGTACTCACGTACTAGTGACTTGCAGTTCGTCAAATTTTCCTCTGGTTCCTAAGTGTTATAGCTCTCTGGCCATCCTTGCCATTTGACTAGGTACTTCCACTGACTGCCGATTTTCCATAGGTCCTTGGTTTCCTCGACTACGTACTCGTCGTCTTCGAGCTCGATATCTTCCATTAGCTTGGCGTTTTAGGGTGCTGGTTCTAATAGCTTCTTGTAGAACACGTTGTGTATGCGCATGCCTGGTAGTAGCCGGAGTTTGTAGTTTACCAGTCCAATTGTCTCTAGGATTTCAAATGGTCCTAATTGGAGATTATCTAGTTTCTTGCTTGGCCGTTTAGTCTTTAGGTTTTGTTGTGACAAGAAGACTTTGTCCCCCTTCTTAAAGGTTGGTCCCTTAATCCTTTGTTTATTCGCAGCCTTAGATGCCATAAGGTTCCTATAAGCTATATTCTTGCTTAATTGCTCGTGCAATTCTCGCATTAGTCGAGCTTTGTCTTCTACTCCAACTACAATGCTTTTAATATCCTTCAGATCTTAATGAGCAACCAGCTCATATCCGTAGTTCGCGTAGTGCGGAGAGTATTTCGTCGTTGCCGATTTTCTACTATTGTACGCCAATTGTGCTGTCAGCAAGAGCTTAACCTAGTTGTCTTGCAGCTTGTTGGTGTAGAATCGCAAATACTCCTCCAGCGTCTGGTTCGTTCGTTCCGTCTGTCCGTCTGTTTCTAGGTGAAAGCTAGTCAATAGCTTTTTCTTAATTCCTATCTTTGCTAGGAACGTTGACTAATGTTTCGACGTAAACAGCTTATCTCTGTCTGTAATAAATTCCTTAGGTATCCCATGCTCTAATACTAGTGCTTTCTAGACTTCATACGCGCATTCATCTGCCGTAATAGTTTCTTCTGTAGGCACAAACTTGGCTCCTTTAGTCAATTGACATACGATTACTAGGATTGTGTCGCAAAGTTGAGCTGATCCTAGTTCTAACGATTTTGGGAGCTTTACTATAAAGTCCATCGTTACACTACTCCATGGTTGTGTTGGTGGCGGTAAGGGTTGTAACAGGCTGTAGGGCTTATATCTTTTAGGCTTGTTCTAGTAACATGCCAAACAGTTACCTAGGACTTCCTGCACCTTCGCTCGCAAGCGTGGTATATTAAACATCCTTTTTAGTCTTCTAACCATTTCGTCTACCGCTGCGTGTCCATATTCTAGGGACTTATGCAGGGTCTTAATGAGTTCCGTTCTTATATAAGGAGGCACATACGTTCGTGTTCCTTCTCTCAAAGCCATGAGTTCTATCCTATTGTTAGTTACTTCTAGCGGGTATTCTGGTTCCTGTCGCCATTGCGTGGCTTTCTCTTGCTATTGTTGTTGAAGAGTCGTGACTTGGTGAGCTACTACGCTGACCTTGACTAGGTTAGGCTTGTTATACCTCAAGCTTCCATCAGGCATCTGCCTGAGGACTGCGTTGTATGGCTCCTTGTGTCCTTCTTCTTGTAGGTTGGATCTTCGGCTTAGAGCATTAGCGGCTCCGTTGAGCGATCCCGCTCGGTGCGTTATTTTAAAGTCGAATTGGGCGAGCATTTCGGCCCATTAAACTTGTCGTTGGTTGAGTTTCTTGGTTGTCATGAAACTCGTTAGGTTCTGGTGATTGGTGAATACTTTGATCATGTCTGGGAGACCTAACAGGTACACCTCCTATTGTTTAAAGGCGTCGACTACTCTAAGTAGTTCCTTGTCGTGAACATCGTAGTTTAGTTCTGCTCCTAAGAACTTTCGTGAATGGTAGAACACTGGTCTCTATTTCCCATCTGGGCACTGCTGTGATAGTACAGCTCCTAGTGCGTAATCGGACGCATCGGTCTTAACTCTGGTTTTCTGTCTTGGATCGTACATCTCTAGTACGGGTGCTTCGAGGAACATCTGCTTTAGTTCTTCAAAGGCTTCCTAACATTCTTTGGTCTATTTAAACCCTATGTCTTTCTTCGTAATCTCTGTAAGTGGTGTCGTAATCCAGGAGTAATTCCTAATAAACTTTCGGTAGAAGTTCGCAAATCCTAGGAAGGATTGCACGTCCTTGACTATTTTAGGTTTTGGCCATTCTTGTATAGTCTGGATTTTCTTTAGATTCATCTTAACACCTTCTGTTGAGATAATAAAGCCTAGGAATTCCGTTTCCTGCGTGTGGAATTCACACTTCTTAGCTTGAAGGTATAGCTTATATTCTTTAAGCTTTCGTAAGACCTTCTTGACATGTTCAACATGTTCTTTGAGCGATCCTCTAGAGTACACTAGTACATCGTCTAGGTACGCTGTCGCGAAGATTCTAAGGTATTCGTGGAGAGCGCTGTTGATGACTGATTGAAAGGTTGCTGGCGCATTCGTTAATCTGAACGGCATTACCGTATACTCGAACAGTCTATATTTCGTCTTGAACGCTGTCTTCCATTTGTCTCCTTCCTTGATCCTAATCCGGTAAAATCCCTCCCGGACATCGAACTTCGTGAACCACTTAGCTCCCTAGAGTCGATCCATGAGCTCCGATATGAGTGGTAGTGGGTATCTATTCTTTCGAGTAACCCCGTTCAACCTTCTGTAGTCGACGCACAGTCGCCACTTTCCGTTGGGCTTCTTTACGAACAATATTGGTGAGGCCATTAGGCCTGATCCTGGTCTGATGAATCCTTTCTTTAGATTCTTCTAGAGGTATTCCTTAAGCTCAGCATCGTGCTCAGGCGATATAGGATACATTCCTCCTAGCGTCAACTTCGCTCCTTCCTCCAGGATGATCTCGTGATCCTAATCCTGGTGTTCAGCTAGGTCTGTTGCCTCGTTTTCTTTGAATAAATCTCGAAACTCGTTCGTCTGATATTCCTTTGGTATACCCAATAAATCCTTGTTTGGCGTATCTAGTGGTAAGGGTCCGTCCTTCGTGGGCGCGACGCGTCTTATCTATATAACTCCTATCTGTCGAGGGTCCTTCGCATAGATTCTCGCGATCTTATGCGGTGAGATCTTGCCGAATCTCCCGTCCTTAGGTGAGCTCTGATTCGTTGGGCGTGTCTCTTGTCGTACTCTAGCAACCTTGCGCGCAGGTTCTTGGCTGAGAATGGTTTTCTTTTGCCAGTCAATAGCCAGGTTATGATCCTGTAACTAATTATACCTAATTAATATTTCTTCCTCTCCAAGGTCTATAATATTAATTTTCATTGTGCTTATAGTGCCCGCTAATTCTAGCGTTACTGGTTCGGTTTCTAACCGTATCATGCTGTTGCCGTAATCCATAGGCTTGTCGTCGGCTAGTACTACAGGTATTAGCGTCTTCTTGACCCGATGTGGTATCTGGTACTTCTCTATCGTCTTTGATGAGATTATGGTATGCATCGCGCCGCTGTTGATGGTCGCGATCATTCGTTTTCCGTGTACAACCACTATTGCTTGTAGCTTTAATTGTGGGCTCTTGGTGTGTTGTACTTGTTTAAGGGTCGTTATAGGACTGCCTTTGCCAGCGTAACCCTATCTCTAGCGGCATCCTAGTTTTTTAGCCTAGAGAGTCGTCCTTTCTGCGACTTCTTCCCTTCTTGGGGAAAATATCCCGCGCCGTACTTAGCGTTAAAGTGAACGTTACATTAGTCTTCGTAACAGAATCTTCAATAAATGTTCTAGTGAGGTATCTCCTTTAGAGTGTCGTTCGTTACCTCTTTTAGTTGTGGCTTAATTCTTTAAGTCTTTTCTTGGCCTAGCCTAGTGTGCATTTGACAATCTTTTGCTTTGCATTCCTTAGGCATAAGGGTGCTATGGTAGAAGTCGTCTGCCTTCTCCGCATCCTTTCTTTAGTTTTGATGAAACGAGTAGTTGGTTGTGCATTTAACCTAGCATAACTTTTCGTAGGCAATCTGTATCTTTTCTTGCTCGTGTACAGGGCATTGATCCACGCGGCATTCTTCTAGTTCTAGATGGTCGTGGCAATAATCATCTCCTCCGTATCTTGATGCTTCCTTTGCGCGTTTATGCTAACTACATCTCTTATGTTTGCAGTTAACCTAATGCAGGTCCTTGTGCTTCGTGCGTTAGCCTTTTTAAGGTGCTTCTTAGTCTAAGACCTTAGTTAATTCTATAAAGTATAGCTATTCCCTTTGTGCTTGTTGTATAATCTTAGTGGCGTTTAGTCCTATGACAACTATCCTTCCTATCTTGGAGATACAGTCGTTGGCTTAGTATGTGTTGTCTCCACATGTCTAACACTATCCTTAGGCCAATCGTTGTAGAGTGTCCATGCCGCTAACGGTCCAGTCCTCCGCCTAGGGTACGTCCTATTCGATACTTGGTTAGGCTAGTTTGGGGATGACTACGTATTCTAGGCTAGTGGCTCTTCGTGCCTTGTCATAGAGGTCTACATCGCTAAGATTGTCCTCTAACGTGAGATCGTGTCTGGGGTATGGCGTGGATAGTCTGATCATCTTGACCTTGACTATTGCCTGCTTGCTAGTTTTGTTCTTCGGGCAATCTCTGCGGAAGTGTCCTACTTCGCCACATTAGAGACATGCCTTGTTGTTAAAGCGCTTTTGTCGTTCGTCCTTAGAGACACCATCTTGGTTTTTCTAGGAATTTTTTTTGTTCTTACTCTTGTCTTAGACTTTACCAGTTATAACGGTGTCACCGTCCCTGTCTGTGCGGTTTTGCTGTTTCTTCATGTTGGCCACTGTAGGCTGAAATCGTCCCTTTTGCTGGGCTCGTTCCCACAGTCGGTTGTCGATTCGGGTGGCTAGCTCGACTAGCTTATGAAGTGTGTCAGGTTTGTCGTGGTGCACAAGACCGTCTTTGACATTGTCCTTGAGTCTGGCTTCGAATACCGTTCGAAGTGCTGCGTCGTCCTAGTCGATTCTGGCTTGGAGCTGTTTGAACTCGGCTGTGTACGCTGATACAGACTTAGTTTGCCTTAAGCGAGTGATTGCTTTCTCCGCTTGGTTCTTTGCGTCTACTTCCCTAAAGATGCGTCCTATTTCTTCCTTAAAACTTTCCTAATCCTTAAATAAGGCCTTAGTTTCTTCCCTAGTTCCGTAGGTAGTGGGTAAGGTCAGGAAATCCTTAACATATAGCTACATTTATATAGCTGCTTTGCCCTTTATGTGTGTGTTAGCTATTAGGATCTTTTCCTAGTCGTTAGGTACTTAGTTAAATCCACAGTACAGGTCGATATTAGTGAGGAACGTCCTTAGTTCGTTTCGTCCTCCTTTATATTTCTTGGGTACTGCTATCTTAGGTTTTAGGGGTGGTTTCTCGTTAGGCGTAGCCATAAGCTGGCTTACTATCTAGGCCATCATTTCTTGCATGGCTGCCATCTGCTTGGCTTAGTCGTTATGCTGCTTTTCCTGCATGCGTAGCCTTCGCTTAAGATCTCGTACCTTGGCCTAGTTTGTGTCGTTGTTCTCGTCATCTAAAGAGTTAGAATCCAAACCACTTCCTTTGAGCATCTCGTCATCAAGAGCTAGTGAGGGCGTAGGGGCCGCAGCCGTGGGCTCCTGTCCCTGGGTGAACTGGTTTCTGTTGTGGGCCATTATGGTAATCTTATTCGAGCGAACTATTAGTTAAACTCCTCTACTGAATTCAGTGGTGGTCAAAGTGTTACACGGGGTTCGACTATACTTAGCTAGGACTCAATCCGGGTTAGGGCGAGTCAGCGGGTTCGTGGTAAGCCGTGTGATTGCCGAGTAATTCAGGTGGAAAAGAGTTATAGATGTTTAACCGATAGTAAAGACAATTAATTCTATAGTAAGATAGAATAACAAAGTACCAATCTTGTTAAGTAAAGAACTTGTAAGAGAGTACAGTATAATGAGTTGACCACAACGAGTGTAATAATGAAATCCAACACATTCTTATACCCATCGTGTTCTGTCCTGATGCTCCCTATTCTCCCCCATGCCATGGGAGCATTGGGAGCACAATTCTCCCAAGGCCACCCGTGCTCCGGGAGCAGGGCTCTTGG